CCGTTGCCGGACCCGGAAAAAAAAAAAAAAAAAAAAAAAAAAAAAAAAAACACAGAAGTTTATGTCGCAAAAACTAATTCTCCTTTCATTCTCCCACAGTCCCATCTCCGTATTAGAGAACTGAAGGTACCTTGTATGCTCTTCAGAGACATTCGTGCATATAACATTCTACACTCTGTGTCTGACTCTTTCTTTGCTTTTACTTAGCAATATGTCCTAATGTGCTTCATATCAGATTATATGGAACTCACTCATTATTTTTATTTTTTGGCAGCTGGCTTGTACAGGGATTGAACCCTGGACCTCGGTGTTATCAGCACCACACTGTAACCAACTAAGATAACTGGCCAGACCTTGGCTCACTATTTTTAATGGCTGCACACTGATCCATTTTATGAAGGTATAGACTATAGATGCAAATGAATACATACCAATGATCCATTTGCATAAGGTTCAGAAATAGGCAATAATAACCTGTTTTCAGAATTCAGAGTAAAGGTCATCTCTGAGGAGGAACAGGCCAGTGACTGAGAGGGATAGGGGGCTTCTGGATAGGGGGCTTCTGGATAGGGGGCTTCTGGTCATGCTGTTTCTTGACCTCAGTAATGGTTATATACAAGTGTGTCCGCATTTTTAACTATTCATTGAAATGTACACTTACAATTTCTGGACATTTTTGTATGATATTATGCTTCAAATATACAAAGTTTAAGCTTACAGTCTACGAGTAGATATATAGAGAGAGGGAGGTAATTAGTGAGTGAATTTAGGACTCGACTATCTTGGATCGTGCAGCCACTGACGCCAGTGTGGCTGGAGGTGCTGCCTGCGTGCTGATCAAAGCTCCAAAACCTTGGGCAGTTTACCTAAGTGTGAGGCTCCTGGATTCCCTCATTTGTTAATTGGGAGTCATATTACAACTACCTCGCAGAACCGTCGCAAGGACTTCATATAATCAATGTAACGTGGGTAGAAGTGCTCCACAGGCACAAAGCAGGTTTTCGATAAACGCCCGTACTAAATTACCACAAAACTGTAATTTTTACAAGGAAAGGTATCGTCGACCGTGCTCAGTGTTGGGGTGCAAAAAGCTGTTAACCCAAAATATGGCGCTTTGACATGCTGGAATAAAGAAGCAGCCTCAACGTCTCTCTGACCATGTCCCCCCTGTCACCTATCCCTCTATCCCCCGTCAATCCTCTGTCATTCCCCATAGCACAGGATGAAGCTGTTCCCTTATCTGCCTGAGGTTTGGACGAGCCAAAGATGAAAATTACCTCTCTTCCTTTCCCTGAGTTTTCATTAACTTAACTCATATCACAGGAACAAAGACTGAAGTTTGTCAACACATCTAGACAGACTTTTGTCCCAGACCATTGCATTCTATTTCAGTTCCATTCAGTATTTTAAAGAGAATCATTTACCAGTTATAGTCTGTTTTGCAGCCAAACAGACTGTCTCAGGCCATTGTATGTTCCACAGACCCATTGAGACCCCCCCCCCTTAAGAATCAGTTACTCCTACACCCTCATCTGTCCCTTCCCCTATGAAGATGGGTATATAAGCATCTGTACTGAACTGGGGAGGTTGCGTGATCACTCTCCTGCGATTTTCCGGCGTGTACATTAAATAAAACTTATCCTCTTCTCCTAATAATCCTTCTTCAGCGAACTTTCAGAGGCCAGAAGGAAAGTTTTCCCGTCGCCCTCAATCTGTAAGATACTTTGGGCGAAATATCCAGGGCCGGCCTCCTCGAGGAAGGAGCACTCACGAAGAAGCGGGTTCACCGGTGCTCGGGCGCGGGGAAGACGTCTCCCTGGACAAGTGAACTCGCAACCCGCCCAACTCTGGCCCCGCCCGCGAACCAGCCTAGCTCCACCTTCTACCGCCCGTGCGCCCTTTAAGAAGAGCCATGACGTCATCCCCGACGCGGCGCAGCCTACCTTGGCAACTCCCCGGCGGTCCTTCCGGGTGGCCTCAATTGGCTGGCCGG